CAGTTTATTTCAGGCCTTTGTAATGTGCAGACTTCCCTACCCCTGGCCTTTCCCCTCAGGTCATCAGCATCTGTTCTTTTTTCATTGGTTTTTTCTACATACATATCTATGCATATTATATACACTTCTTCTTTTTTGGAGACGGAGTCTTGCTCTGTCACCAGGCTGGAGTGCAGTGGTGTGATCTCAGCTCACTGCAACCTCCGCCTCCCAGGTTCAAGCTCTTCTCCTGTCTCAGCCTCTCGAGTAGCTTGAATTACAGGCCCCTGCCACCACACCCAGCTAATTTTTTGTATTTTTAGTAGAGATGGGGTTTCACCATGTTGGCAGGCTGGTCTCGAACTCCTGACCTCGTGATCCACCCGCCTCAGCCTCCCAGAGTGCTGGGATTACAGGTGTGAGCCACCACGCCCGGCCTTCTATAAACATTTTCTACACACATTTCACACAATTCATAAAAGTGTCTTTTTAAATAATGTTGCAGTATTTTCTTGTGCTTATATGCCACAATTTCTTAACTTCTCTGTTTGGGGCTGTTGCTACATTATTTTATTATAGATCTTGCATATGTGAATATTTTGGTACAAATTAGGTTTTTTTTTTTTTCCTTCTTCTTTTGGGCCTGTACCTGAAGGGGAGATACTCTGTCAAAGTGTCACTGTTTTTTTGCTCTCTAGGAAGACTGTACCAATTTATATTGTAGAAGAGGATCTACAGGTTTTTTCTGCAGTTTCACGCTGTGCAATTTTAATAGTTTTTGCTGGTTTATGAGGCATATACCTGTGCCTTGAGATTGTCTTAATATGCTTATTGAAGGAGGTCGTGAGGATGTAATGGTTTGATTTTAATATTTTCTCTCATTGGAAACCAAATGGTCTTTAAAAAAAGTCTTAGTTGAAGTTGAATGTTGACATCTTGTGATTCATCAGTTTTTGTATGGTTTGGACACATGCTTTTATTTACTGTACTTTGTATCTTTCCCCATTCTCTTGCTCATTATTCGTTTCATTACATTTTGTGGTGCAAAACTTATTCACTAATGTTTACATTTTTAGACTCAACTACATCATCTCTGATGATATTCTTAAGTTTTTTGGCCAGAAATTATTTTCTCCTTTAAAAGTGGGCGAAGTATATTATTCTGCTGTTTTTAGGTTTGTAATTGCTTATTTCTTGGATCTATTTGGACCTTATTACAGTGTTTGGTATAAGATGTAGATCTAAGGCCAGGCGCGGTGACTTACGCCTGTAATCCCAGCACTTTGGGAGTCCGAGGCAGGTGGATCACGAGGTCAGGAGTTTGAGACTAGCCTAGCCAAGATGGTGAAACCCCATCTCTACTAAAAATACAAAAATTAGCCCAGCATGGTGGTGGGCACCTGTAATCCCAGCTACTCAGGAGGCTGAGGCAGGTGAATCACTTGAACCCAGCAGGTGGAGGTTGTGATGAGCTGAGATCACACCACTGCACTCTAGCCTGGGCAACAGAGCAAGACTCTGTCTCAAAAAAAAAAAAAAAAAAAAAAAAAAAAAAAAAA